GTATTTAGTTGATCAATATTAAATATTGCACTCTTTGTTATATTAATCTTACTAAAAGAAATTAATTATAATTCTCAATTTTCAATGATGACTTTTTAACTCATTCCATCTATCATCAATTATTAATTTATTGATTTGTACACGTGTTAATTAGTATTTTTATTAATTCGTTCCATCTGTCACGTCGATAATTAGCATCGTACAGGCTAAGAACTAGTCTTGAGTGATTTCAATAAATTCGATATGCGCACATTACGGTGAATCTAGCTGAAATAAGTGACGGAGCTACTCAGTAGCATCGTTTGTTCATCAGGAATTAACAACAGACCAGTGAGAAACATTGTCGATGAAACCGTAACAGTAATACTACAGATCTGAGACCTAAGTCTGAGATAACAACAGTAAAGCACATTATTCAATAATATCTAATATTCCTAAACGAGCAGAATCCTGAAAAATCTGGAAAAATCGAGAGAATCGTACGTCGTGAAGGACAAAGATTGTTCTTCTACAAAGAACAGAATTTCCTCCAGACAGAAGTTCCAACGTTGAAGGGTCGAATTTCGGGGCCGAATTGAAGGCTCGGACGATTTTCGCCGCGCGTGAGGCGACAACCGACACCCATGGTCTCCCGTGCGTAAATCGTTTGCATAGGACAACAATATTGGTATGCAAAGGGTAGCTCCAGAGGCCGTAGAGTGGCATCACAAACCAAAGGGGTGTCAGTGATGTCGGCAGCGGATACGGGGCGTTCCACAACACAACCGGAACCCCCATGGAGGGTCAACTATGGGGGCTTACGCTGGCCGTGTATCATAAATTACACGCGTTGTGTAGGTTCACGGCGTGTGCAGAGACACAGAGTGGAACGTGCGAAGGGACATATACGTGGGAATACGTTGCGTCGTGAGCAAAGAAAGATACTAATGTTATATAGGAGATGCCACGAGATAGGGATGGAGAGATCGCGGAGAGAGGGGATGGCGATTTATCTGCGGTTTAGATAGCCTAATACGATTATCGTATCGTGGTGGAAATAACGAGCACGCAAATGGGAATACATTGTGTATCCACATTTCGCCAGGGATACTGTTTATTTTTAACATTGTTACCATTCAATATTAATTGTTCGATATTATTGCACAACGGTGTGAAATATTTATCAAATTGAATGGAATAAATATTTCCGTATGAAACATCGATGATGGGCGGATCGTGGATTTTTCATCACGCTTTTATATTAAATTAAAAAAAAAAAAAAAAAGTGAAATTTTGGTGGAGATTTGTTTTCGGTATTGCAGATGAAATCTGCGAAATTTGTCCTATTTTTTGTCTTATTTAAAAAATAATATTTTCGACAAAAATGTATCACTGATATATATATATA